ATATATATTCACTACAAAATAGTCCTTCATTTCTTCATATCCTGGTTTTTGTTTTGTTTTGTCAGAGATGGGTGTTCCATTGCTGTTAGAGAAGCTATATTTGGAGAACTCTTTAAAGGACCTTTTCATACTTGATGCCAGTCCAAATATTACAGGTATTTGAATTCAGCAAGTACCTACATCCTTAGGTAGTAGGGAATCATCTTTTCCTTGAGCAGCTTCCCCCATTCTATAATCCTTAGGGGTAAGAAAAATCTCATTTATGGTAAAGGTTGGCCAGCAGACAGAATTAGATTTTACTATAAATAGTGGGAAACTTCACGCAGGAGTGTAGCATAGTGTAAAACCTGCATCTTGAGACTTCAGCCAGCCCTAAATGTAAAAGTCTCCTTTGATTCCATAACCCAGTACAGTCCAATAGTCCATAATAGTAGTGGGTTATCAGCAGGACTGGCCGTTGTCAGAAGTTGTTGACTTGAGCCTTTTAAAGCTCAGTGTATTAATATGGCTTTACTTTTTATACCTCATAGCTATACTTTTTTGCTGGATGGTTAAGACCAAGTTAAATCAAGACCTATATAGCTAAACATTTAACTTTTGCGTCTGAGAAGGTCAGTCAAATCCCCTCAGGATTTGCCTGAAACCATGTACAGCAGCTTGTAGAGCTTGTGTCAGTGTCAGCCATGTGAATGTGTCATGGACATTGCTCGACCAATTTGCTCTTTGTGAAAGCTTGAGAAAATGTTTTCTCTCCATGTGACTCTCCTTAGGTCCACTATATATCATCAATCACTTTCCTCTGTGGTCCCATAATCTCCTTGACCAGAAAATTTGGGGCACCACTGAGTTACAGGATGTCACAGCACAGGTTCTCTTATGTCCTGAGTCCTCACTGCCCTTGAAGGGCTAGGGCCAAAATACTGACTATCCTTGCAGCCCTTCTTTTTCTCTAATTTTTGGTATGCAAACTTTAGTTGTTAACCATCCAGAAGAGCAGCTTAATGATGTTATTACCCTGTAACAGGTAGCTGAGCTTAACATCACTATCTGTCTGATTACCAGACGCCTTAGACATAACGTGGAACTGCATTTTCCAACAACCATGGATATTCTAAACTTTAAATCCCTATAGAAGGTGAAAAAAGCCAGTTACACATTTTTACACAGAAATTTAGAAATCAAACAATATATAACATTGTAGGAGGACAGTCCTATGAGAAAAAAATCCCACTCTGTATCCTGCACTCATAGGTGGTCTGGGGAATTGCTCTTTTGCTCTTCCCCTATACTTTTTTTTTTGCTTAAAATTTTTCATTGATAATGATCCAAATCTTGGAAACAAAGCAGAGGCATTTTCTGGCAAACTTGCTTTAGTGTCACCTCACTTTGTGGGGGAACATGACTGCTTGTGAATAAGACCCAGGCAATTCACATCTTGTAAAATGTGAAGTCAGCACATGGAGAACTACGAAGTGGTTTTTTCTTTTTTTTGCGGAACTGGGGATTAAACTCAGGCCCTTGCGCTTGCCAGGCAAGCACTTATTCTACGGAGCCATCTCCCCGGCCCCCTATTCTTTTGGTCTAATATAAAAGATAATCCTAGAGTTAACATTGCTTTCCCCAAGAGTGTATAATCCAAATTCTCATATCATTTTGTCAGCTATATCATTCTGCTAATTATTTTATAAGTGATTATAATAAAAGCTTGTTAATTCTTGTCATCTATTTTTATGGGATTTATGATTTGAACAATGTCAGAATTTCTAATTTGTGGGTTTATAAAGTCTGCCCAGATGTGCTCACCTACAGCTGTGGGAGCAGAGAATAGTGGATTTGCTTCCAACTCCACTAGCCTTATTCTGTAACTGCCAAACTAACAGGCAAGTGTCTGTTCACCTGAGGACGAGTGATCTCTTTGACATTTCATGTTCAAGTACAGTGACAATTTATGCATTTGTCTCGTGTGGTCACGACATCTGCCTCTTTCAAAATTAAGAACTGAGGGCTGGGGAGATGGCTCAGTAGAATAAGTGCATCCCTGGCAAGTGCAAGAGCCTGAATTCAATCCCTGGTTCCAAAAAACCAAAAACCAAACCAAAACAACAACAACAAAAAATAACCAAACCCCCAAAACATAATTAAGAACTGAAAACTTGTTGTGCTAGTCATGACCATAGGCTTACTTGGAATGACCAGAAGGATCTGGGGCCCGAGTTCCAGAGCATGTCTCCTGGGCCCAGGTGACAGGCCCAGCGAGATGCGGGCAAGTAGAGTTTTGGCGTGTATATCTGTACAAATCAGCATATGCATTTGTTTTTAAGCTGGGCCTGAGTTTGACACTAGTTTCCTGGGTTTTCAGTTGAGGAGGAGCTTTCCCTCATAGAAGGCAAGTGACTAGGCAATATCAGTGGCCCCCCTTTATCCATAGAGGATAAAAGACCTTAGTGGATGCCTGAGATGATAGACAGCACTGAAGCCTGTGCATACATTGTATTTTCCTATACATGCCCGCCTGTGATAAAGTTTGGTTTATAAATTAAGAGTGATAGATTAACAACCATTAACAGTGCTGAACCAGCCATAGCAATATACTGTTACACAATGCAGCCTCGCTCTTTTCTTGCAACGTCTCTTGTAGCACAAATCTCGGCAAATCACTTTTTTCTTTCTTTGCCAAGCCAAGAACTCATCCCTTTGTGCCTATGAGAAATGTGACCGTTTCCGTTTGGCAGAGCTGAATTGCCAGAGTCACTACTCTAGCACGTTGAGGATATTATTAAATAAACCGGGCTGCTTGCGCAGAAGCACTGTGATGCCGCAGCAGCCGAGGGGCAGCTCAGCGCCCGAGTGCCTGGGCAGGGTGGCAGATGCAGACGTAGTGGGTGTTCTTGACAAGGGCGACTCAGGTCGGAGGAGGGAGAGCCTGGCTTGGGGTGTGGCGTCGTCCTGTGACACGACTCAGAAAGGCGTGTGACTGGAGACCATGAATTGCTTATTGCTTGAGTTTGTAATCCAGGATTTTCAGAGTGTGGCTGAGCACAGCTGAGACTGCGGGGCGCAAGCCGGGATGAGCGAGAACAGCCGCACGAGAATCCTTCGCGTCCGCAGCCCTGCGTGTCAGGAGGAGCTTAAAGAACGACTTGAAGATGGATCGGTCCCAGAAGCCTCATGTATCTTTACCAGAGGGATGTTCATTGTCAAGAATGTCCTTCAACTTTCTAAAAGTAGTTTTAGTGGTTGGGGAGTCAGCAAGATTTACACGTGGATCCGGGTTACATATGGCCCATAGCCAAAGCAGATGCGTGAACAAATCAGGCTTTTTTGGGTAAATAGTACCTATTCTTTGATTGTATTATATATGGGATGTGATGCATAAAGCATTAGAACTGTATTATTTTATTTTATTTATATGAGAGCTTTTTAGGGAACAAGCTAATGAATGAAATTCCTATGTTTAAAAATGTGGTCAGGCTATGTATCTTTAGATATCTTGGTTAATTCCAACTATGACTGCAATTTTAGTAGTTCGGGAGTAGTTCAGTTACCAGAAAAAGTATCATTTGGGGTATTCATTAACTCAAAGAGTTTCATGAGCTCTTTCTAGAGAAATATCTGAACTCTTTGTGACAGCTGTGACCCGTCCTGCCAGTTTTCAGGCTTGAGAGTAGGTTGGTGTGCTCACAAATAATGTAATGGGTAGAGGGAGGCAAAGTCCCTGCACCTAACTTCTTAGCTGTTCTTTTTGTCGCTGAGACAAATACTTGGCCCCAAAGTTAAGCAGGGAGGGAGGGCTTACTTGGCCTTCAGGCTGTGGGCCTTTCAGTCTGTCCCGGGCTGGCCCCAGGGCGGGTGGATGGTAGGCAGGCCTCGTGGATGAGAAATGGTCCATGGCAGGCAGGGGCAGCAGGCAGCAAGCCGCAGCAGCAGCTGCCTTCCGTGGCTCCTGTAGTCTGCCCACCCTTAGGGCGGGTGGCGCTCTCGCCCAGAAGCATGCCACATCAGTCCACGGGCTGCCCTAGGTACCACACACCCTGAATCCTGGCATCACACTCGAGGCCCAGCCACTGCTGAAGAAGCCCACCTATGACCCCACAAGGTTTGGGGGGGCATCTAGACACAGGCCATAACAAAGTCAGATTAGGTGAGAAACTGCATTATGTGGTTTTGTAATCATGTTTTTGTTTGTTGTTTTTATTTTTTAAAACTTGATCTAAATAACTGGATGGGTTTTCTTTCATTATTTTTTCCTTATTTAGGGAATATTCCCAACAATGAATTAACTAACCTACTATAATACACCCAAAGTGACCAACCTATAATCTTTCTTTACAAAATTTTTACTTTGGTTTTAGAAAAATGAGAAATTCAACACTAATAATTTTGGATTTTCTTACCATGATAAAATAAAAGGAAGGGCCTCAACCACTAGAAAAGTTTGATCAATAGTCAGAACCTATTTACCTTCATCTGAATGTTTTCCTGAATAAGGAAAATGCAGGAAATACACCTCGCATGCTGCATGTACACCGAGAACGCCTATAGCTGTATGTATGCCCTCGTGTATCTTCCCTCAAGATTCTCTCCTGTGCGTTTCACAAATGAATAATCTGTTATCAGTTGAATTGTTTGGTTGGCAATATAATAAGGATTATTTCAGAAACAAAACACGTAAAACAGTATTAACATATGAGCAAACAGGTATTTTGTATCTACCTTAGTAAATGGTTGTTATTCCTATTAAAATATTAAACTGTGCCAATTTAAGAAGAGCCCTTGGGCGAGCTAAAGTGTTTTTAAAGAGGCTAAAATTCATAGAGAATAGGAATTGAGATACCAGGCACATGGCATGTTTCTTTTAAAATTTCAATTAGGATGATAACTCCAATGTTTTATGTACTATAACTTTTTATACAATAATGTCAATTATATCTTAAAGTCAGTACTGAAGGCTAAAGTGAAATTATTCCTAGGGCACTTGTACCCTTGCATATGTTTAAGCTCATACACATAAACACATATATGTATATGAAAATTAACTAGCAAAAGAAACTGATCATAAAGGCAGCGGGCCTTGTAGTTTAAAGTTGGTTTGAAATATTCAGTGTGCTGCAATAAAAGATTTTACAAGTTCATTCTTTGCCTGTGTGAAGATAAGAATCTTTGTTCTCTGTGTAGATCGCACAGCTCAGTGCCACAGCAACTGTCATTACTAAGGCACTTCAGGCCTTTCAGGTGCGACACGTTCTCACTCTCCGATTTCACAGTTCACAGCATGACCGAGGCGCTGGGCTCGCAGTGACGCCTCAGCGTCTGTTTGGTCCACAGCTGCGCACACGGCTGCTCCTGGCGGTAGAAATCGGCTCCGGGACTCCGTGGCAGACACCAGCGTCAGGAGACGCTCGAGTGCCTCCTGTGAGGCAGCCACCCGCTTCCACACACCCTGTGCGGGCTTCTCGCTCACTTTGCACCTCTTCTAGACTATTTGCAAGACGGAGTACCAGAAACTGATTGTAGCAGCACCTGGGGAAGAGCGAGAAGGAGCACTTGGTGCTCACTGTGGGCGCAGCTTCGCGTAGCAGGTGTTTCAACCCGCAGGATCTGCGGGGGTGGAGGGCGCACCACACAGCGCTGGGTCGTGGGGCGCAGAGAGAGCTGGGGCTGGTGCTCTGAGTCCTAGCTGATCTACACGGAGGAACTCTGTCTTTCTCCTGGATCCACCTCCTCAAGGAAGCTACACGCATGCGAGCAGGACTGAACGTGTTTGGGATGCTCTTTAATCCAAAGGATGCTCCCAGAGTTCAGGGAAAAACGTGTTATGGGAGATCTGAATTTAGCTTATAAGAGGAGAGAATTGTCAAAGAAATGTAAAATGGTGATACTTATAGTAGTTGGCGTTCAAGGGAAGCTTAGGGCACCAAGCTCAGCAAAAGG